ACCGGAAGGAGAGTAAGAATAAGGCTTGATGGGGAGGTAGGAGACGTCTTCGGTCTCGAATACGGACTACTACAAGGCTCACCCGTATTTCTTATTCTATTCATGCTCTATATTAAGCCTCTTTTTAAGCTAGGTATAGCTCGCCTAGGAAGGAAGCGATCTCGTTTCGGCTACGCCGATAACGTCGCTATCTTAGCAAGCTTAATATTACTAGAGAACAACTGTGACATCCTAATTAAGGAATAGAAAGAAACCTTTGGATGGGGCGCGACGGAAGGAATCATTTTTGACCTCGATAAGTCCGAACTGATCTACTTTATTAAGAGATGAAAAGACGGAAACCTATTAATTATAGTAGGTTTGCCGGATAGGAAGCATTATATAGTCCAGGCTATCAAAAAAGGCTGTTCTCTACGCTGGCTCGGCGTTCACTTCGACCGTAAACTTATATTCAAGAGTTACGTAAGAAACCTCTCTACAAAAGCATACTAAGTAGTTAATGGACTACGGGGACTAAGGAATACTATCTGGGGCGCGCCTGCGTACTTACTTCGTCGAGCGATCACCTCTTGTGTATTACCTACTTAGTACTATGCATCTGAAGTATGGTGGCCCGGTAAGAGCCGGATAAAGAAAGAATGGACGTACTATCTCAAACGGGGTTGGTAGTCTGCTACACTAACTGGACGCGACGCAAACCAAAGCTATTAGAGCGATGGTCCCCGTATACAGAACTACGCCTGTACCGATCCTACAGCGCGAGGCGGCTCTACCCCCAGCAGAGGTGATACTGGACGCGAAGCTCCACACAGCGTCCACCAGAATCCATCGTCTGGACGAGCGACACCCTCTCCGAACGAGACTCAGGGATAAATCAGGACCAGACTCACGGCTATGACGAATGGCAAGCCTCGTAAGCAAAAATACCGAATACATCGATCCGTTAGAACTCCCCCCTTGGGAGCAACTAGCGGACTGGCAGACAGCCCTCGCCAGGGTCGGCTACGAACCTAATAAGTCCAAAGAAGAACAGGCCCTCTCCTTTACAAGCAGGATAGCATCTTTCTCCAAGCGGGACATTATTGTCTACACTAACGGGTCCCAGATATCGGACGGCAGCAGCACCTCCGCCGGAGCAGGCTGGGTAGGGTACCAAGCTACACGGCAGATCTTCCGCGGATCCGAACCACTCGGCTCCCAAACTGAGGTATATAACGCGGAGGCACATGCTGCGTATCACGGCCTGATAGAAGCCACCCCGGCTCCTACGGCTCGTATAGCAGATAACGTCCACATCTGCCTCGACAACCTCGCAGTCGCGGCTAGACTATACTCCCAGAGCACAGGAAGCAGCCAGGCTAGATTTAGGGCCTTTAATAGGCTCTCTTCCTCCTGGACCCGGAGACAAAGAGAGAGCTGGACAACCCCCGGCAGGGTTTATGTTTGGTGGTGCCCTGGGCACACGGGAGTACCAGGAAATGAAGAAGCGGATGCTCTAGCCAAGGAAGCCTGCAAACTAATCCCAAAATCACAACCACAGCCCTCATTAGCGCACCTAGAAAGGCAAGCTAAAGTAGCTACCTTCCAAGCCTTTGCCAGAAAATGGCTGTCCCAATGCCCTCGGCAATATGCCGACCTCGAGATAATTCTTCACCCCAAGCCGCCCGAACTCCGCCTCCCTCGGCACTTACTAGGAAGGCTATATGCAGTAAGATCCCATTATGGAGACTTTGCAGTATACCACGAGAGATTCGCTTATTAAGATGCGTTGCTCAACTGTAGCTGTGGGAAACCTAAGACACCAGTCTATTTCTACTTCTGTAAGCGTGGACGCAAGGCTATACCGCGCTACCTCCGCCAACGTATGGCCAAAGTAAGTATTGATTTCTTGTTAGGTTCTGCTAAGGGAGCCTCTCTTCTATGCGAATGGATAGAGGAGACTAATTTCTTTTCCGAAATTTGCCCGAGTTATTGAACAGGAACGTTAGGTGAAGACGGTAGCCTGTAACATAGTTTAGATTAGCATAGACCATGTCGGCATAGCGCCCGGCACGTCCTTTTGTTACCAGACGTTAAATACATCATCATCATCATCATCACCAAAGTGAGCGCTCACCAGTATCCACTTAGTGATCACCAACGAACATGGTGATCAGGCAACAAAGGATATGTTCAGGATCAGGACTTGTATATAGGATGGACTCGAGCTGGGCTCTAGGACAGACTTCCCATAGCTTATTCAGCAATTAACTTCGTATCAGGATTAACATCCGCTTTCCGCTACTACCTTGACAAGACTACGATTGATCACCGAAGCCTTACCTACCCTTACGATTGACAGACATAGTTTCCTTGAAACTATTCCACGACTACGATTACTGTTACCAGTTCCGCAGCCTCAACTTCTGCAAACTACCCCTACGACTAGCTGGCCGTAACACCCAACCACGACCACATGACTTGAAGGAGCAAATATCAACACCCACCTCATGGATTCAATCCAAACTATTCAGAGTCCTCTTCCTCAGACATTTCCTTATTAAATCGATATGTTCGCGCATTATAACCAGTGTTCCCGCAGACGCCACATCGTCGTTAGCCCGTCTTAGTCCTCGGTCGGTGACCACTACTCCGGCGCGTCTCCTCCTCTACCTAGGCTATAGCCTCTCTCTACGACTAAAGGTCCTCTCCTTTAGCTATAGTAAGGCTTCTTCCTTATCGGAGACGGTTTTTCTTAGCTCTCCGGCGACGACTAAGTAGGTTATTCTCCTCTCGAAGGATCTGGTTCTCGGATCTTAATAAGGCGATCTAGTACATAAATCCACGAGCCCCCTTAGATAGATGCTCTATAGCTTCGATAATTAAAGTTGGTAAGCTGTTTTGATAACGGGAGATTCGATTCTTAATAAGTTCTAACTGAGAAGATACTTCCGTTAGGTTATTTAGTATCTAAGAAGTCTATACCGGTGGTGTTATCGGGAGGGATCCTGGAGGCGTCGGAATACGTAACTTCATATCAAGCTTTGAGAGCACACTCTCTACACTCAAAGGCACAATTCCTGCCCCTCTGAATCCTCCCTAGATGTTTTTCTCCGTAATCGCTTACGTAAAAGTCCTGTAAAACGCCGGGAAAAAGTCCTCCTTAGTAATATACGTATTACCCCGACGCATCTTATCCTCGATTTCTCGACCGTACGCCGTTTTTAAAGGCCCAAAACATCCAATATCCAAGGGCTAGAGTAGATAAGACGAATAAGCCGGCATATACAGGGTAACGATGTTATTCTTCTTACAAAAAATCTCGAAATCCGCGGAGTAGTGACTTTCGTGTCCGTCGATGACGAGGAGGCGGTATTGACCCTTTGCACGCGGTCTGCCGTTCGAAATGCCGAGCCTAGTCTAGACCTCTTTCATTTGTTGTCCATCCATTTTCAGGCGTTACGATGACCTAGTCGTGTGGGAGACCGGATTCCGTGTACCAGGTGGAGAGGTGATATTGGCCCGCAATGATGATGTACGGCGGAACGCTGTAGCCCGACGGGCTGATGGCCTGAATGACCGTAACCCATTCACGATTGCCAGGCTGCATCATTTTCGTGTTTGAACGCCTTTCGGCACTGGTCACGACCATGCCGGTTGAGATCTGGCCTATTATAAAGCTAGTCTCGTTAAAGTTGTAGATGTTTGAGTCTACGATGCCGTACTTCGCGATTGTGTTCGCCACAAGCAAGAACCACGCGTTAATTGCGCCCGGATCTTCGCATTGGGCCCTTTTGTAGTTGTACTTACGAAAACGACGCGTTCGCAACTCTAGTTGTCGCTTTATGAAGTTCGAAGCCTATCGCTTCCTAACATGGGGCGCGTCATGATTAGCAAGTAATCGATTCGCCATTTCTTCAACACCGCGAAGACGGGGAGGAAAACATCTGGCGTCCAGGTCGAGGATGTACTTAATCAGCTTCTTCTCTTCTAGCAGTATCAAATTCCGTGAGTTGGGTGTGCTATTACGTCGTGATAACGTTCCCTCTAATCTGCGGCCTAAGGTAACGCGATTGATGTTATAGATCTTTGCCGCGGCCCGAATACTGAGATTTCGGTCTTTCTGGGTAGCCTGAACTGCTAAGTTTAATTGGGTATTTTTGTTATGTACTGTTATTGTTTTCGATGGAGAAATGCGTGTTGTGATGATGTAGGTGGCACGATGGCGGTTGGGTGGCCCACTCGCTTGTCTGGCCCACTCGCTTATCATGTACGTTACCCCTTTGAATGCGGGGTAAGAATGGGTATATCCCATCGAGTGCTGCAAGGCGACAGTACATTGAGATGCGGGGGAGCAGCCAATCGGGCCACTTCGGGCCCCTTTTTCCAACCAACCAACGTAATTGATAATAGATACTTCCAATTACTAGAGATTCTGCGTATGAAATCGGTACCAGCAATCTTCTGAGTTACAGAGAGCTACATCGCACTCGAGGCAGCCCATCCTCGTGTACTTCCCAGGGATACCGGGCTCAACCTCCGGAGGCTCGCGGGGCCGAACAGTGGCATTATCACATTGCTCCGGCGTACAGTCGGCAGTGCAGGCGGCGGCGAGGTCCTCGGGCAGCAGGGCAAAGATACACGACTTCGCCGAGCCCGTGGAACGGCCAGATCCGTCAGAATCGTCAGAATCCATTAATTGAGTATTGGTAATGATGGATTTGGTAGATGTACCGGAGTGGAAATCATAGGGGCAACTCAAGCAGTGGATGTACCAGATGCGGTGCGGGGTAAAAGGGGGCCCGTTATGTGGAGCCAATGTACTGTCGCCTTGCAGCACTCGATGGGATAGTGGGTATTTTGAGCCTTAGCAAAAATGGAGCTATCTGGCACTCGATGGGATAGCATGCTCGCTCGGCTCATCCGGACTTGATGCAACAACGTCTCTTGTGGACGACACTGCTTGAAACTTGCTAACTACAGTCCCGCGCCTTAGAGTGCAAGTGGATTTTTTTTTTCTTTGCGGCTATGGTTTACTGCGATCGATTTCAAGTAACAAAGTTGACGCTACCAGAGCTTGGACGAACCACGGGAATTTCCTCGTGAATTCTAACTTGCGGCACGGACACTGTCCAAATTACAGGCGGGCCACCCCGTGTGCCGAGAGTTCCACCATCATACGGCAATATCCGAATCACGGAATCGTTTTGGCGCGTTCCACGGCTAAGACACCACTGAAGCTTAATATATGCTCTCGAACTCAGTCGATTATTCCTAGTCATGGTACACAGGCCTTAGAACTTCACGTTGATCTGGTCCTAGGCGTGAAACTGTTGCACTGCAATAGCTCAATAGCTGAATGGTTCTTAACGTCAGTCGCCTTATGCAGCTATCCACAGCCGCTACTATATTTGACTCGAACCAAGTGGACATCAGAAGCCGAATTAAAAGTGATAGAGCAAACGCAACAAAACTGCGATTGGGGACCCTTTCAACACGGTTACGCATAAGCTGAGAATGGAACACGCGTTAATGCCTAATACTTGGAATAAAACAATGCTTGAGAACTGAGACTAAGCTCGCGCTGGAGGACTTTATTCCGCCCTGCATCTCCGCATATGAACAAATCCAATCTTGAGTCAGATAGGGCTCCGAGGGAGTGACAAAATGATACTTAGATCAGTACTTCGCATTGCTTTGGAAATCATAAGGTGTCGCCTCGTTTTCCCCGGCCACAATCTATTTACAGTTTTGCTCTCGTTCCGCGGCCGCCCACTAATACACCCACTGGTTTATGAAATGATGTAGTGCGTCTCCAACGTAGAACTGCAAATAAAGTCTACATTGAGCGGCCGTTTCTCTTTGCTCCAGCACCTCTGTCACCCACCTTTCATTGTCTACCCACACTCTTTTGACTCTTGCCAAACAACACTCCTTTGCTGCAACCATGTTGTTGAAATCTCTGAGCCCTCTTTTGGGCTGTCTCGCCCTCTCCCAGAGCGTTGCTTCATCACTGTTGCCACGCGATGGCGATGACTCTGGCGGGCACACCTGGATCGACCACGACGCCGTCGTTCCCTTCACCCAAAAGCCTTCCGTGGTTGGAGGAAGCTTGGAACTTCGTTTCAACCCTTTCCTTTACGTTTCTGGAGGTTGCGACCCTTACCCGGCGGTAGATGCACAGGGCAACCTTGGGTAAGTGAGCTTTCTTGCTCGTCAGCTATGCGCTAAGTCTGGAGTTGCATACTCCTTCAAGAAAGTTGATGTGCTGATGAGATTTCAAACAGCGCTGGTCTGAAGCCCACCGGTGGTGGCCGAAGTGGCTGTGATGACGGTGGCTCGGCTCAAGTCTACGTCCGTCGCGGAGAGAGCCAGGGCCGCAAGGCAATTATCTACAGTTACTACATGCCCAAGGTTCGTTGGGCCAAGGGTAACAACAACGGTCACCGCCACTACTGGGCTAGTGTCGTTGTCTGGGTCAACCGCTTCGGCTGCGATGACAGCGACATCACGTCCATCTGGCCCGTTGGCATCTCCTACACCACCGACCACCTGAACTGGGGCTCAGCCTCTGCCGGAGAAGTCTCGTTCAGGTCTTCGGATGTGGGCATCGACATGGCCACGCATCCTAAGATCCAAATCCATGATGAGGCCATTGCACCCTTCACCGGCGCCGATAGCGATCAGCTCTTCGAGCGTACTCTCATCAGCTGGGATTCCCTCCCCGCGGCGGCAAAACAGGCACTGAAGGACGTCAAGTACGAAAAGACTCAGGTTCCCTTCACTGATGAGCACTTCCAGGCTCAAATTGACGCCGCTTACCGTGATGGCTTCTATGCTGGTGTCTCAAAGGAGCCTGACTGCCCTTCGAACGATGTGCCTCCTGCCGACAACCCGCCCGTCACTGCGACGGCCGCGACTCCCGAACCTACTGGCTTGGACAAATAAGCGATAGACAGTTTGTAAGAGGTTATTCGAGCTAGAGGACGCTTCTTTGGTACTACATTAAGGTAATTAGAGGAAAGTCTCTTCACATTGTTGCTAGATTCATCCACGATGGTTAGAGAGAGATCGGCACATAGTTGCACGAGCAATACACAAGTCTTAATTTTCCAATTGCCTAGAACCCTGACTACGTTTCTCTTTTTACCTCTGTTGGGGGTTCGCGGAGGCACTCTGAAAAGGTCCAATCGCTCACTTGCCCTTGCAACCCGCAACCTTTGCCCGATCGAAGCCTAGAGATATCTGGGCACATGTATTAGGCAGTCTTTGGATCTTTCAAAGCGGACCGAGTAGCGTCGAAGCTCTTGGCTACCTCAAAGATTTAGAAGTTCAACTATATTTTTTTGTTGTTGTTCTATTTAACGCCATGGCGGCAAGGGCGCAGCCGCCCTTGCGGCAGACCTCCCGAAGGGTATGTGGCGTGAAGGGTCGCAGGCTCTAGCTATATACTATATAGTACACGCCGTCTCCTGACGTCCTCCAAATCTTGCTCGTGAGCTACTATGTGTTCTATCCATCCCTAGTTCCCACTGGTGCCCTAGTTCCGTTATAACCATCTGGTTTCTTAATAGAGGTAGTTTGTCGTTTGGAGGATAGGTTATGACCTATCTCCTAGTACCGCGGGCAGATCTTCTGGAAGAAGTCTGTCACGCAGAGGAAGACCTGGAAGCCTTCAGAGTCAGTGATTAGCCCCTTGAAGTAGCGATCGAGGGACCCTATAGGTCCTACGGGCTCCTGGCGGCTGTAGGGGTAGAGGGTGGGCCACTGTTGCCTCCTCAGTAGGGTCTTTCGGCAGTAGACTAGATGGTCTGCCTCCTTAACCCATCCACAGGAGCAGGTGAGTAGTGCTTCTGTGTGGTTAAAGCGTTGGTGATATTGTTCAAAGTCCCCGTGGCCTGACCGTGCCGCGAGGAGGTGATGAAGGGCAGCCCTAGGGAGGCCAAGTTCAGGAGGGCAAGCAAGGGTAGCCTTGAGCCCTAGTTGGGTATAGCGGGGAGTTGCCTCTTGTTTCCACCATCGTCTATATTGGCGTCTTGGCTGCTCTTTAGCAAGCCACTTGATACCTGATAGAGTAGCTAGTTGGCCCCTAAGGACTGGTAGAGTTGTTCCCTCCTTAGCTAAGCTGTCTGCTTCTTCGTTTCCTTTAATACGAAAGTTCAACTATAGGTTATCATCGTGACTTATAAAGTCTGAGTTTCTTAGACCTGACGAATTCCTATTCAGCTATATGAGCCCTATTCTTTACGGATAAGAGAAATATCTTTCAAATCGACTTAATTATCAATTGAGATTTTCTGTCTCAGTCCAGTCTTGGAAACGTTTCGAACAATAATACATTCGACGGTATTGCAATCAAATTGAACGAGAAATCTGCTACCAAAGAAGGAAGAACGTATTAAACACCCGTGTACACTTTGCCCCAGAAGTGCCCTTGACCCCATTCTTTTGCCTTCGAAGGCGCCTATAGTAGACAAACGCGGCCTAGTCGATACATGATCGGCCACTTTCCATCAACATAGTTGTTAAGTGTTCTCCGAAGCTGCCCGAGTCCCCGACAAAGGATTGGGTTTTATTAGATTCCCGGTGGCAGAGGCTTGTTCGAAACGGTTGGAGCGGGCGGAACCTTTGAGGGCATCGGGCCAGCCGGCTCCGGGTCGGTGGGGTCACCTGCATCCTCGTCGCCGTCGCCGCCCGGAAGATCAGCGTAAAAGCCCTCGTCGAACGCCTCGTTAAGGTTGTTGCCAAAGTTCTTGTCGATGAAGGGGACAGAGGTGTGCTCGTAAATGACACCGTCCAGCTGTTTCTCCGCAGGTTCCGGCACCATCTCCCAGTCAATGATCGGGAGGTTGAGCGTGTTTTCCATGTTCTCGGTAAGGGGTCCGACGACTTTCTTACCCCAGTAGGCGACGAGCGGATGCGTGGGTCTGCCCACCAGGCTAGCGCCTGAAGACCACTTTGTGGCGGGATATGAGCCAACGCTGTACGCTCCGTTGTCAGTTTGGTAGCTGATTCCGACGGGTTGCGCTGTGTTAACGTCGGTACCGTAGATCCATACAACGATGGATGCCCAGTAGTGACGATTTTCCTTGTTGACTTTGGGGACATAGAAGGAGTACATGATTCCAGTGCGTTCTTTGACTTTGCCAGTTCTGACATAGAGCTGGCCCTCACTCGCCCCACAGTCACCATTTCCCTTGCCGGTGGGCTTGAGACCAGCGCTTCATGAAATTCAGTTAGCCTCAAAGTCTTACAGTATAGCTAGTCAACACTAGATACAGAGTATGGGTATGCTTACCCGAGATAGCCTTCAGCATCTACGGCTGGGAAAGGGACGCAGCCTCCAAGAACCTTGATAAAGGGCTGAAAACGAAGTTGGAGTTCTCCCTCGACTCCAGAGGCAGCTTCAGCTGGAAGGGCGTGTATATCGTCATGGTTCTTCCACTTGTCACCAACGGCCACATCTTTTCCTCGCGCTTGCAAAGTGGCCGAAAAGACGATCGGCACACTGGCAAGCAGGAAAGTTGCAAAACTGGCGAACTTCATTGTTGCTGGTCGAGTTCAACTTGTATTGTCGAAGAAGGTGATGATGGATAAATGCCAGTGTATACATACCCGTGGGATTTTATATATCTCTGGCCGCCTGGCGATGTCATTCATTAGTACTTAGGTACCAGTAGATGTCAAAACGCTGCGGACTCGTTATTTCGTAATCCAAACATGATATTCCAGCGGCCAAATGAACGGAAAGTCATAGCAACAAAGCATACAGAATCAAGCCGTTAGTTATACCCACACTCAGTGAATTGCCGTAACCTTAATGCTACTACCCTTTGGAAGAGCAAAGATACCTACGTGATCACCATGATCTGTAGCACTGTGCATGCTATACGTACGGCAGACCCAACCACCTCCAAAAATGTATTCTATCTCTGGTCACATGTGAAGCATGATGGAAATATCTCGTGATTGTGAGAAAACCGGAAAAGCAAAAACGGAAATTTGGACGGTCACCCCGAAACTCACTCAGATACTTTGACAGCTTCACGGGAATATGGATGATAGACATCTTAGCTAGGACAAGATCTGCGGATATCAGATTATTTGTTTACGTACTGACTTCATATTCAGGCAAATCCTCACGGCCTCTAGTTCACTTAAATCTCTCAAGCCTCCAGACCTTCAGGCTCGAAGGCTGTGGACCGTATCATCATCTTCTTCGGCTTTTCCAGCATTGGACATTGGACTATTTACAATGCGTTCTTTTTACTATTACTTCCTTCTCAGCCTCTCCCTCCTGGGAGTCTACGCCGGTATCTTGGAGGAGCACGGGTACACGGTTGAGGAGTACCAGAATGGATTGTACTTTGTAACCACTCCTCACTACTCGGGAGGCAACGCTCCCGTGGATAAGGTCAGAATCAACGTGGAAAAGAAGACCATGACAGTCTACTTGGCCTACAATGGCAAGGAAGATGACCACGAAGACAAATTGTACATGTCCCAAGTCCTCGCAGCTCTCTGCGACAAAAAGGGCATCGATCCCGACGATTTGTGGTGGGTCGTTATTGACGACGTCGAAAACCTTGCCACGAAGGCAGCAATGACCGAATACCGCAACAAACACGGCCTCCATTTCAAAGACGAGATCAGAGTCAAGCCTGACCAAGAAGCAGATTGGGCCATCTTCAACCAAACTCCTTTTTACCGAGCCGTGTACCGCATGCTTCCTCGGAAGGGCATCGACCAGATCATCATCAAGAGGGAGGACGGCCAGACGAACATGTACCTTTCAGTTGAATAATTGTGGAAAGTGAGTTCAATTCTCTGGTATTTTTTGATACCACGTATGTGGGGGCTTCTTCTAATGAGGTGTAGTAATTGTTCTTGATTGGGGAAGTACAATTTGGAGGAGGCTAGTGAAGAGCTGGGAGCGAGGTTTTGAAAATCTGATCCTTCTCTTCAGGATTCTTCAGCACTTGAGTGTAGCTATTTAGCTTTTGAGCGAAAGAATACACAGGACAATGTTCTCACCTCACATTCACCGATGGGATCAGTAGTTAAAATACTTATTACCGGGAGGTGATGATACGAAGGTTCGGACCGTAACCGTGATTCTTTACTTTCAGTGTTACGAAGTACCCTTGCCTCGAAGGACTTTCCACGTGAATTTGACTGGAGTTGAACGGTCGTTACAACTATGTTCTACCCACCACGTCGGATCTTATATGCTATGGGTCCTGTGGCAGACAAACTCGGATTCGGTCTACGAAAGACCTTTCGATGGCTGCCTGGAGATGAAAACAAATATACCGGGAATTTCTGCCGAACTAAGATCTAATATTTCTTTGATTGGCCGCGTTGTTATGTTTGTGCTAACTTGCGGTTACAATTCTGCCCATACCGCCACATACCCTCCGGGAGGTCTGCCGCAAGGGCGGCTGCGCCCTTGCCGCCATGGCGTTAAATAGAACAACAAATTCTGCCCATACTATCGGGTGTGGGCAGAGCCTCTAGGCAACGATTATTGAGCCCTACAGGTGGGCCATCGTGACTGTAGGGAGACCATTAGATAAATCCTATGCAGTCAGTTGAGTAATCTTGGACAAGTAACATAGGTTGAAGTACGGTGCTGGCACACTTGCCGCCTGAAGTTGTGATGTTAGAGCGTTGACTGGGGCAACTAGTAAATGAAGGATCGCTGGGAACCGGAAGGAGTGGGGCTGTAACTTAGCTAGCCAAAGTCTCTCTGAGTGACAATTAATATAGGCTTGAACTAAGTTGACTCGAACTAGCTTTGAGAGAACCGTTTGTGAGGCTGAATAAATTGGTTTCTTCGGCCATTCCCGCCCCTCCTGGAACCTTGCATTCCATCCATGTTCTCCAAGGTGGCCGGACTGACCGATATCCAGCGGCCTGTGCTTCTGTGGATTATACCTTCGTTCACCGCAGATTACAGCGGTAGCAAAAGGTTATGGCAGGTGCCCACTGCCAATAGGTTGTTTCCAGTTTCATGAAGTCTCGCAGGCTGCAGATAGTGTCCTAATCAAACCGGAACTCCGGTCATAATCTAGCTGGAATAGCATCTGATGAGTGATCAGCGGATTGTCAAACATGAACGTTGCTACACAAACTTGGACCCAGGTTCTCAAATCTCAACTGATGCATACTTTCGAAGATATTCGCGAAAAGTCGGTAACACCGCTGGTCTAATTACATTTGGTCCTTCCCGAATCAATATCTCAAGGAAACATGACACCATTGACCTCTGGGGAATATGGAGACTTTGCCAAGAGAAGGTACTAGCACAATGTTCATGGCGTGTAGTAAAGTAGACTGAGTCGTTTCTATTTCACCGAGAATTTCCACCACTTTTCATTCACACACTGTATTTGAGTTGGGTATACCTCCATCCTTACGAGATGCTAATTTTCAGCGACAACAACGCTGAAAGCCAATTTTATTACAGGTGAGGCTCCCAAGCAAACGGAAGCTCGGTCATCGACGCAGAAGCCCGTCCTGAATATAAAGAATCATCCACGCAAATCGTGCCTTGTCCTTGATTGTGCTCCAGAGCGGCACTGCACTCCTTAATAGTCCTCCAGTCACTCCTTAACAATCCACAATGATTCGACACGCATTGACTTTGCTTCTCCTCTCCACGGCCATCAATGGCCAGGTCGCTTCTCCCGACAATCCTTACAACCCTGAGTCACAGGATGACGGCGACGTCTTGGCCGAGAGGGCCGTCAACCCTGGCATCAAGCCCCTCCCAAGCGTGAAGCCGGCACCAGGCCCGAAGCCGGCCCCAAGCGTCGTGCCTCCCCAAAACCAGACGTCCTCTCACATCCCCACGACGTTGTCCAAGTCTGTTCGCATCACTACATCCTCTCATTGGAGCAGTTATGTGCCATCCTCCTTCCGGAAGACGACATGGAGTCAGCCTCCTTCCTCTACCCGGAAGCCCAATCAACTTCCTTCCTCAACCTGGCATAGCAGTGCCATGAAGCCGTCGTCCACTCCGGCTCCGATCCATGTGAGTAACGGAGAGACAGTTGCCGCGGTCGTCGGCGCGGTGATAATTGGAGGAATCTTGGGCGGCTTCGTCATGGCGCCCTCAGGTGCGATTCTCCCCATTGCGGCTGGGCAGACTGCCGTGTTGTCAGCGGCCGCCGGTTCCGGAGCCGCTGGATCGATGCCCGAATTTGAACTGGACCCCATCAAAGACAATCCTGACCTGCCCGAGTCTGTTCCGGAGGTCAAGCCCACTCAGCAAAGGCCCACTGAGAAGCCCACCGAGAAGCCTGCGACGCCCACGCAGGTCCCGACCCCCTCGCAGTCTTATGACCCGGAGACTGCCTCCGAGACCTACGACCCATGGACTTCCTCTGCTGCTCCATGGTCCTCTTCGGCTCCCCCATCGGAGTTCCCTTCCTCGACGAGCGCGCCATTCTCCTGGACCTCATCGGAGCCGGCCTCCTCTCTTGTGACCACCTCCTCTGTGTGGAGCACTACCATTGCCACGTCTACTTCTTCCGCTGCCCCGACCAGCACGGCTCTCAACTGGATTGATCACGACAAGGTCGCCGCCTTGAACGAGGCAACGTCTCTGGGGTTGGAAGGCCAACTTCAGCTCCGTTTCAATCCCGAGCTCTTCGTTTCCGGAGGCTGTGATCCCTACCCGGCAGTCGATGCTTTTGGAAGCCTCGGGTAAGCAAATAGGCCCCTTTCATAACACCATTGCAAAGTAGCATGAGCTAACTACTACTTGCAGAGCTGGTTTGAGACCTACTGGTGGCGGACGAAGCGGATGCGGTAATGGCGGCACAGGACAGGTCTACGTCCGACGTGGAAGCAGTCAAGGCCGTACCGCCGTCATGTACTCCTACTACTTCCCCAAGGTCCGCTGGGCCAAGGGAGATAACAATGGCCACACCCACTACTGGGCCAGCATCGTAGTCTGGGTCAACCGCTGGGGCTGTGAGGGCGATTCGGACGCATCAGCCGTCTTCCCTGTCGGCGTATCTTTCACCAAGGACCACACGGTATGGGACACGGCAATGACAGGCGACATCTCCTATTTGCAGTCGACGCACCCCAAAATGCAGATTCACGACAACGCCATGTCACCGTTCACGGGCGCTGATGGCGATGAGGTCTTTGAGCGCACTCTTGTCGCTTGGGATGCCCTTCCCGACGCGGCTGAGCGCTCGCTGTCCGTTGTTGAGTATGAGAAGACCCAGGTGCCGTTTGTCGACGCCAACTTCCAGACCAACCTCGATGCTGCGTACAAGGAAAGCTTTTACGCCGCCTTGACTGATCAGCAGGGATGCGGCGGCACCAACTAGAGGTGGTGAGCTTCGTGTTCGCCAGGATATGCAATTGACGGTAGCTAGATAGATCATGAACTCTGGTGCAATACACCATTGATTTCTAGTCGTTTGGCGGTGAATATGACGTGCATGTCTGAAGACTCGCTTTGGAACCTCTACAACGTTGGCAATATTGAGCATAACAGTGGCGGATCTAATGATAGTTTTAGTGAGTCTTGACCAGTGACAACACCCAAGACTTTATTGAAAATGAACAGGGTAAAGTGGCCAACCGGATCGAATACCGTACGTGAGCATGATTAATAAACTACTCGGAATGGGTGGAAGAAAGGCCAGCATTCCGAGACCATCAATCTCGGGCACGTCACTGAGTCCTCATCCCACCGGCGAAATCTTGTCTATTACAACAGAGGGCCCCCATGCTTCAAATCCCGGAAATCCCACTCAGACCTTACCATTGGAGACAACCATCCATCCCCCACACCCTCAGCGACACGGAATCTCCTATGAAACCACGAAACAGAGGTATCCACTGCCATCTTTGTCGCTAATCTAGCAGAGCCCGCGTTCCGGCCGCCCGTAACAGGCAAGGTGGAGTAGTGACAACGTCAAGCGCGGGGCCGGATTTGCTTCGAAAATGCACGAAATGCGGGGAAAATGGGAAAGATGGGGATGAGGGATGGTCAGCGTTCCCGCGGGTTAGGCCTGATCCGGTAACTTTCCGCCGGCTAGTTGCCCTATGGGTTTTCCGCGGGTTTTATTCCCCTTCACGAGGTGCTGGTGGATGTGCGAGGACGCCACTGTTCGGCAACCACTTCTCCAATGGGTGGCTATGGGTTGTGGATGACGGAGGGTATAAAGGGAATCAGAATTCTTGAGCGATGGGCGCATTCTCGCAAACTCGATTCTATCTCGTGTAAATCTCGCAAAGCGCTGTGCTCTCATCAAGAATTATCACCACCTCAAGCAGCCCGTAGCATAGACAATACAAGGAGTAGACACCTACCTCAATCCTCTTACTAGAAATATCACAATGCCTCACGCAGAATCACCAACCCCTGATGCCCCTCCCACCCTCAACGGTGTTCAACTACACGTCAACAATGACCTCCTCTCCGCCAACGAAGTCGAGCCCCTCATCCAATCCCACCTCACAGAAGACTTCGACGTCCTCCGCCAACGCTATCGCCAACATGGCTACCTCCTCATCAAGGGCCTCATCCCCCGTGAAGATGTCCTCTCCGCACGAGAATCATATTTCAACTCTCTCGCGCCCTCGGGTATGATCAAGCCCGGCACATCCCCGCGAGAAGGCATCTTCGATGACGCAAAGTCCGCCACGGATTACCCCGGCATCGGCGCCGGTAGCGCCAAGAACGCGGCGCCAGGCGAGACGGACCGCTCCGAAATCTTCACATCGGCGGCCCTAAAAGCGCGCACCGAAGACTGGCACGCCGGCTCTGAGGACGGCTCGGTCCGGGGCTTCTGCAACCACCCTGCTCTCCGCAACTTCGTCGCCGAGTTTACCGGCTGGGGCGACGAGAACACTCTGACGGTGAAGCGTACGCTCCTCCGCAACAACACACCGGGAAACAAGGCCATTGGCGTACACTACGACCAATCCTTCATGCGCTACGTCGAGCCGACGTCCGTAACGGCGTGGGTGCCAATCGGCGACGTCCGGCTCGAGGGCGGCGGATTGATTTACATGCAAGACGGCGAGAAGCTGGGCGAGGAGATCGAAAATGAGTTTACGACGAAGGCGAAAGCCGCGGGAATGAGCGACGAGGAGACGAAGAATGCGTTCAACTCGAACATGATGAGCACGGGGTTCCTATGTGATGGGCCAGCGGATTTCGGGCGGGGGTATGGAAAGAAGTGGCTGGTGAGCGCATATGAGGCTGGTGATGTTGTGTTCCATTCAGCACACATGGTACGTTTGCTCCGCTTGTTTACCACATGTTTGCAAGTTGCTAACGTTGACGCTAGATCCATGCTTCGACCAAGAACTACGACCCCGAAGGGCGCATCAGACTTGGAACGGACTTGCGCTTTGTTGACAAGCGCCGTCCATGGGATACTGTAAGTCATTGTTTCCTGCCACGCCTTGCTTGAATAACACCTCTGACAAATCCATCAGCGCCGGGATAAGCACTACAACTTCAATGATGGTGTCTAGACCAATAGGGGGCCACGGCGCGCGAAATCGAGGATGTCACAACTTGCAGCCTCGGGATGCAAGGTTGTTAGAGGTACCTAACAAGAGAGACTCGACAATGATTATGACGCGTAGCCAGTGAAATTGAATCATCTTGATTGAAAGCTATCCAGCTGTGACCATTGTTCCTTCAAAGTCTTGACCAACGCACCTGTCTTCCATTGCATAATAGTCCTTACTTGTGCAAGATATTTGATTGTGTGGTCTCGTTCGAGGGGATGTCTTATTAGATGACCGCCTAAGAATGAGTTAGAATCCCGCGGCTAGATATCAAGCACATCGTGACGACCGATTTACACAAGGACAGCATATGTGCGGGCAAGTAGTATGCGTTAACAGCCTCGTTCGAGCGAGCTAAGCCCATGAGCATACATAGATAGAACGTGATTTCACGCTGTGTGGTGTTTAGCAAAGTGCAAGCAGGTCCTTGTGGTCCGTAACTCACCTTGCTGTCCATCCTCTTCTTCGTTCCTTTAAATCCTGCCGTCGAATTTGAGCTGTTGTAATCCTGGAAGCAAAATATCGCTTTCGAAGCGTAGTAACAACCTCCACGAAACATCTCTCCAGCTTGGCACGGGCTATTAGTGCCATGCTAAGGAGGGGCCCCAGTCCCCGCGGTTTGCCGCTGCGCGCTGGGGTGGATTAGCTATACGCTAATCAAACCCTTAGTTAACAACGCACATTTTCCCCTCGAATCGAGCCGACGATTATTCAACCTAACGAGCCGCCGTCGACTCGAATTCGCCTTCCGCAGGCTAGACGAAGTCTTCCTGGTAGGGCAGGGAGCAGAGGTTCCATCTAGCCTCCCGAAGGAGACGGGCGACTTTCTTTCCCGGCGCAAGTGGCGCTTCCGGGCCCAAATTGAACATCACCGACCGACTTTTCGACTTCGCTCTCTCAGCACCTTTGCCCCTTAAACGATCGAAGACTCCCTCGAAGAGACGAAACGACCATTAGGTAGCGATGTATAGCCACGGCTATATACAGCTATACTCGTTACAGAACCTAACAGCAAGCCCTACAACCTAGTCTTACGAGGTTTTGCCCCTTGTGGTTTCCCTTGTGGCGGTATTACCTATTACGATATACTCCGGACGGTTACTGGAACGTTTTGTAAACCAGAAGCCTGCGGGCTCTGGGTCGAAGGATAGGAGATACTGGCGGAATTGCGTTCTAGGGACGACCATAGCACTGTCTCGGGCAAGCCAGCGGCACCCAGAGACAGGTTAAACACATAGTTGCCTTTGGGCACGATTTGGAGGACGAGCTGGACTGTATCTAGTGATAGCTATAGGCCTACGGCCCTCCACGCCATATACCCTTCGGGAGGTCTGCCGCAAGGGCGGCTGCGCCCTTGCCGCTACGGCGTTAAAATACAACAACAACAACAACAACAACAACAACAACGAAGCGTAGTAATACCCGAGAGCAACGGTGCCTACATGTCGTGTGGTCACAATGTGGGCATCGAGATGTTTGATAGAGAACGGTTATCCATTGAAAGTAGAGAATAGGTACGAGGCTCGCTCTGAAATGATGATGATGATGATGTATTTAACGTCTGGTAACAAAAGGACGTGCCGGGCGTTATGCCGACATGGTCTATGCTAATCTAAACTATGTTACAGGCTACCGTCTTCACCTAACGTTCCTGTTCAATGACTCGGGCAAATTTCGGAAAAGAAATTGGTCTCCTCTATCCATTCGCATAGAAGAGAGGCTCCCTTAGCAGAACCTAACAAGAAATCAATGCTTGCTTTGGCCATACGTTGGCGGAGGTAGCGCGGTGTAGCCTTGCGTCCACGCTTGCAGAAGTAGAAATGGACTGGTGTCTTGGGTTTCCCACAGCTGCAGTTGAGCAACGCATCTTGATGAGCGAATCTCTCGTGGTATGCTGCAAAGTCTCCATGATGGGATCTTGCTGCGTATAGCCTTCCTAGTAAGTGCCGAGGGAGGCGGAGTTCGGGCGGCTTGGGGTGAAGAATTATCTCGAGGTCGGCATATTGCCGAGGGCATTGGGACAGCCATTTTCTGGCAAAGGCTTGGAAAGCAGCTGCTTTAGCTTGCCTTTCTAGGTGCGCTAATGAGGGCTGTGGTTGTGATTTTGGGATTAGTTTGCAGGCTTCCTTGGCTAGAGCATCCGCTTCTTCATTTCCTGGTACTCCCGTGTGCCCAGGGCACCACCAAACATAAACCCTGCCGGGGGTTGTCCAGCTCTCTCTTTGTCTCCGGGTCCAGGAGGAAGAGAGCCTATTAAAGGCCCTAAATCTAGCCTGGCTGCTTCCTGTGCTCTGGGAGTATAGTCTAGCCGCGACTGCGAGGTTGTCGAGGCAGATGTGGACGTTATCATACGGGGTCCGTACCTCAAAGGGACGGACTCCGTATTCTTGGCATACGGCTTTCCTTATCTTATCATCACGTGACCTGCTCCATAGTTCTTCCGTTCCGTAGGGCGACGCATGTGTTCCCATAGTTTGTGCACTTATGGTGTGCCCTAGTCGCCGTGGTCCTGCGGGGCAGGCCCTGGACTTGGTCGTGCATGTCGGGTCGTAACACCTACCTCCCAGATATAGCTTCATTGAAGCTATCCCCGACTACGAATACTGTTATCAGTTCCGCAGCCTCAACTTCTGCAAACATACCTCACTACGATTAGCTGGCCGTAACAAGTAAGTTGCCTGATAAGTGCTGATATTATTCCCGTTTCGTGATATATTAGGGTGTTACTGTCGATTAGCGTCCCACCTGACTTCCTTTACAATACGCGGCGCAAGTGAGCAGTGACTGAACGGAATCCGCTGTGTAGCTCAATCTGCGGGTGAATAGCTCAAGAGATGACCGGCAGATTCTGCACTTCCCATCTTGGGCCTCACTCTTCCTCCGCTTAGTTACAATAGCGATTCCTACCCGCCATCAAAAGGGTGTTTGAGCAACCCTGTGGTATGAAGACCCTCTTGGAGAACGCCTTCGTGCCTGTCCTTAAAAGTAAGGTAACCGAGAAAATCTGAGCTATGATAGCTTTCGTTAAACTTGCTTCTTAGCTGTATTCGCTGCGAAGGTCACGACGACACCCAGGCCACTTCGGCTCACACTCATGTGATCGGAATGACATGACTAACGGAGTGTCACTGATTGGTTGACCTCTGGTGGAGCTCGGAAGTCTTAGGTAATCGCTTCTTTTGAACCAAGCTAAGCCTGACGAGGAATGGCGTACTTACAGTACGTACCTGATCTGAGGACCCAGCGGCCCAGATCTGGTTTTTGCTGCGATCCTTCTTGAATTTGAGATCCTCCAGGGCATTGCATCTGACCATTCGTCCAAGTGTACGATCGAGAGGGCGCCATCTCGTACCAAAGTTGATGATGCAGGCTTTGGTACCTCCTGTCTGTTGCTTCAATATAGAACTATAGCTATCTGCTTGGTAGCCCGAAAGGACGAGACGTCAGAACAATCAAAATCGAACCGGCCCCGGTCTCCGAGCAGATTCGGTCACCGGCAAGCAAATTGCCCCATGACAAGACGGCTCTCGGATCCGAAGACCCGCGGCGACGCGCAATGGGCCCGGGTCGACCTGCTCCTTTGGCTCCGTATCCGTCTCCGATTGCCTTCTACTCGGATCGAGTTTGAGTCACTCGAGGTGATTCCGGCACCGGACACAGTTGTGTGATCTGTAGCCAAGGCCAAGACCAGAGGGATGAAATTACACTATCGTACAGACGGTGACCAGTGACCAAGGTGTAGCCAAGAAAGCCAGGGCCAAGTCAAGTGACGCGTCCCTAAACTCGCACCGGGCGGTCTGGGGCCTGGGCGCCCTTCAGGGCATGACACCTGGCCTCCTCACGGCGAGAGAAGCATAGATTGCAGTCAAGTCAAGACACAAAGTCGAACACACACGAAGCAATGCATATGGCCACAGAGGAGAGGGAGTTGAATCTGACTTATCTCTTATCTGGTGTTGTCGGCTATCTCTAGTCCTGCGGCCTGAGCTTCGGAATAGAGCGGGAGCACTCAGCCCCATGGGGTAAGCGGGAACGCCCATCACTGAGTGGTGGGCGATGTGACTATGGGAAGAACCGGGTACTCTGTATGCAGTGACGTTCTAATCGCGGGGGTTGAAGTGATACGGGTGGACGGTTTGAGATTGGGGGAAAGGGGATATATGCATTGCCGGTAGTGGTGATGGCTTGTTTATCCTCGGCGCGAGGAGATCATACAGAGGGTGTTGATGATTGGGCTTGGGGTTGCTAGCGGTGAAACGCAAGGAGGTCATCATCGTAAGCCAAGCCCACCTAAGGTAACCATAGGCGGGTGACTGAGAGAGAGGGGAATAGAGTCATGATGGGCAGGCAATGGTGAGCATGAGCAGTTGTCTACTTAGACAACGTCCGAAGTATCTGACTTGTTGCCGTCTTCCGAGAGTCTCCAGTCAAAATCGGCGCCTGAGTTTCGCGGTATGAAGATTGGATTTACGGTTTACGGGCATTGATTGCAGATTCCCACCGGCACAATCCTCCGTCCGTCCAGGAGCCCCTCCTCGGCCCCGGCAGACATGTTCAAACACTGAGCTTTCTTTCTCATAGCGTATTATCCATAGCTGAATCGCAGGTACCAGATAGAGAGAACATCGGTGATGCTGAGGCTGAGACTGGCTGTGTGACTCGCTTCCGCATTTGGCCGAAGCAAGTTCCCGCCCCGCTCCCCTAAAAATTTCTAGATCCCGAAGACGGCCAGTTGGGACAGCCAGTCGGGCCAGGTCTTTCAAGGTTCCTATTCCACCCCCTGAGGCTTGGTGCCCTGCTGCACCCGGTCTCCCTCAAGGTCGCAAAGAGACAGCGGCTAGATGTCACTAGCCATACGTTGTTGGGTGTAGAAATACTTGACACCATTTTGAGCCCCCGGTACATTACCACATGGTAGGTATGAATACCATACCTTGACTATCCGGATGTACCTCAAAGTACTAAGGTACCTACATCCCCAGTGCCTTCAAGATTGACTCGTAATTCAAACTCCATCTTCTTATTCTCATAACTCCATTTACGATTACAATCAAACAAGACACCACATCGAATCACACCGAATCCAAACCGACAACAAGTAGACGATAACGAGACAGTTCCCAATCGGCCCACGAAAGGACTCTAGTCCCCCGTAGAAAAAAACCACAGCTCAAGGTCGTTCTCGACCACAATGAACTGCCCTTCGCGCAACGACGACATCACGCTGGAGCATCCGGACTGGAACCAGAACCCGCCCTTCCTCTCCGCCGATCTCACCACCTGCGAGGATCTGAACGGCATTGCTAACGCCCGCGAGCAACGCAGGGCCCGGGGCGGCGCCGGCGATGGATCCGACGGCCGGGGTGACGACATGAATTACCAGACGTTGCCACGTCTGCAGCCCGATCGGAGGCTGCGCGTTTCGGGAAGATGGAAACACGGTGAGTCCTGAATTCACATGGAAACCTTGTTCAATGATGATGTTGGTGGTGTTGTGGTTGTGATGATGCGGAGACTGGAACCGACGACATCAAGGTCCCCTCTCCCATTTCTCACCCCACTCACCGGTCTCGGTGTGCATGCGGCATCGGCCGGCATCATCATTGACACTCAACCACCAAATCTGCAATGACTGACGACTCTCAGGTTTCCATCCCCGAAACAAAAAGGTGCATGGTGGTGATGACCATACACCTCTCCTCTGGGCCTCTGCGCCCGCCCGCTCCGCCCTCTGGGGCTGGGTGAGCTGGATCCTGTCCGTCCTTGGCTGCTCAGCCATCATCTCTGCCCTCAAGAGCCCCGAGGCTGTCGCGTCTTTCCTCGTCGCGACTAAAGAAACTACTCATTGTAAGTATATCCTCCTTAATCACAGTCCCTATGCAGACGGGTCTCGTCGTCCCGTTGCCCACATGTGTCAACCTACAGATCTCAACTCACCTCTCTCAACACTGCCTCACCTCACTTATACTCTTCTCACCCGTCTTACTCACGACCAATACCTCAACACAATGTAAGCTGACAACTTCCCAAGCCGTCACCAAGCGCCATGCCCATACCCATGACCATGATCGCATCACCGCACGCTCAACCTGCCCGACCGGCGGTCTCGGCGACGAAACAGCCTACAACACGCCCCTCCACGTCGGCGCCCTCTTCATCATCCTCGCAACTTCCTTCCTCGCCTGCGCCTTCCCCCTCATCGCAAAGAGCATTCCCGGCATCCGTATCCCCCGGCCCTTCTTCTTCGCCGTCCGCCACTTCGGCACCGGCGTCCTCCTCGCCACTGCCTTCGTCCATCTCCTCCCGACTGCCTTCACCCTACTCGGCAGCCCATGTCTGAGCTCCTTCTGGGTCGAGGATTACCCCGCCATGCCGGGCGCCATCGCCCTGGCCGGCATCTTCCTCGTCACCATCATCGAGATGGTCTTCTCCCCCGCTCGCCAGATGAGCTGCAGGCCCGACGACGCCGTGCTCGCTCCGGAGGGCAATGATGAAAGCGAGCAGCTACAGCAGCAGCAGCAGCAGCGCGGCGAGAAGCGCGTCATCGTCGACGAGGAGAACCGCGCCGTACAGGTCAACTCCAACGGCGGCATTGTTCTCACCCCGGCACAACAGCACCAAAAGGACATCCTCCAGTGCATGATGCTCGAAGTCGGTATCCTCTTCCACTCCGTCTTCATCGGCATGACCCTCTCCGTCTCCGTCGGCCACGAATTCGTTATTCTCCTCATCGCAATCGCCTTCCACCAGACCTTTGAAGGCCTCGCCCTCGGCTCCCGCATCGCAAACATTGACTGGCCCCAAGGTAGCCTCCAGCCCTGGATGATGGCCCTCGCCTACGGCTGCACCACGCCCATCGGCCAGGCCATTGGTCTCGCGACCCACCGCCTCTACAGCCCTGACTCGGAGTTTGGACTTATCCTCGTCGGTACCATGAATGCGATTTCGTCCGGGTTGCTTGTCTTTGCTGCGCTGATTGAGCTTCTGGCAGAGGACTTCCTGTCCGATGAGAGCTGGCGTGTCCTGAGAGGCTCCAAGCGCGTCTGGGCTTGCGTGCTCGTCTTCTTTGGCGCCTTTGGCATGAGTCTTGTCGGGGCGTGGGCTTAGGTGGGCCCCCAGAGGCTATACGGGGGCCGGGGTTGATGGATTGGGTTGCTAAGCATGTGATCGTGGACTCGCATAACCAATGAGTTCCTGGGTCTCTGAAGATCTGGACCGATGGTGGTACCACTTTTGATGCTTGGTGGTCTTCCGCTTGCTTCTCTGCGGCCCTTGCGCGCCTGAAAAGATGCGGTGAGGTGTCTTGTTCAGGATTTTGGATGGCGATGCTATATGTTGAGGTCGCGTGAGCCGATCCCCTATATCGTCGCGATAGTTTTCGGTTTCGTCTACAGCGGCAGGGGTTCTGCATTTGTTTCCCAACATCTGTCGCCTGTTGGAATGGATATTGATATGTGGTATTTCGTTCTTTGGAAGACCTGGCTTGAAAAGGTCGTCGGTCAGAGTGCGTCGTTATTTGGTTTACGTTGGCTTCAAGCATGAAGCCGTCCGCTCATTGAAAACAGAATTAGGGCAAGATTTTAGTCACTTAGATCGAAGAGAATTTAGAAAAAGAGTTGTGGATAAGAGTTGTTTTCTTGGCGCCCATTGAAGCAGATGACCGTCCAGCACCGTCTATGTCGAGCCTCTATGATTGTCTTCCATCAATCTTACTTCGATGCCCACGCTTCTATCATCTAACCTCCCTCCACAACACCCTCATAATCCATCCTTCAGCTCACAAACGTAAAGTTGCTCGGGGAAGTCCCCTCACTCACAGTCGGACTCGGTGCAACCCCACTATCATAACTCCCCCTTCTCCTAGCCCCGTGCCTCTTCCCTCTCGTCTCAAACCCAACGGGCAACGGGACGCCCCCGACAACCTCCACCTCACCATTCCCACCACGAGCAACAGCACCCGTAGTAACAGCATGCCAAGCCCTCGTCTCCTCCGCAAGCCTAGCTTCCTGGTCATGCCTCTCTCTCTCCTCTCTGAACCGCATTCCCAGCGCCTCTTCAGTCTGACTGAGATACGGAAACCTCTGCCTCTGCGGCAGCGGCGAGGAAGGCGGCGTGGGCACAGTCTTGCGCTCGGTGGTCGTACTCCAGCCTGCAGTGTCGCGGGCGATCATGGCGGTATGCGAGGCGCAGCATACCGATCCCGGGCCGCCTACTCCGGGTTCCGCACCGGTTCCGACACCGCGAGGGGAGGGGCATCCGGGGACGACGCAGGCGTGGATCGCGTCGCAGAAGCTCCCGTTCGCCCGCGCGGCGCCGTGGCAGCCTGGGGTTCGGCACTCGTGTCCTGTGCAGAACTGGCTCGCGGAAACGAGGAGCGGGTCGTCGGCGCGCGGGGACGGGCATGAGGGGTGCAGGCACGCGTGGAGAGCGCAGCGGCGGCTGGCGGGCTTCGAGGAGTGGACGCACTCTGGGCTTGTGCACTTGTGCGCTACGCAGAAGCTTGGTTGGTGTGGTGGTTTCGAGGGGTTCGCGAGGTCTGCTGCTGGCTGGGGGCAGTTTTGGGTGTGGCAGGTGTCTGGAAAGAAGTTTTCGTCAGCGGATTTCTGTGGTAAGATAAGGCCGAAAGTCTTGAGAGATATGTGAATCTGAGGTATGTATCTTACGGCTGGCACAGTAGAGGCGTGATGCATCGGTTGCGTTGTCTTTGGGCTCGCGACATGGCGGGTATGTACACTCGTGCTGTGGGCAGAAGTGTACGCCGCCGTTGACTACGACTCCGCAGCCTGTCGTCTTACAAGCTGTCGGTAGATCTGAGGCGTTCGCCATGTCAGTATCCCATCCTAGAATGTGATGAACCGGCTCAGATGAGCGAAGTCAGACTCACGGAACCAGCAGACATCCTCATGTGTTCCACCAGGCGAGACTACCCTCGGCGAAGCGCATCCCGCGGTCTTGCAGAGCCGGTGGTCTCTGCACCAGTTGCCGCCATCAATGACGCTGTTGCAGTCCTTGTCGGAGCAGCTGTGGCTCGGACAATAGAGGCCGTCACCGACGCGCGGATGACCGCAGGCGGGGATAAGGCAGATGGGCGTGTGGAAGCTGCACATTTGGGAGTTGATGGCGCGCTTGTTATGGCACCCGTAGGTTGAGCAAGTGTCTATTCATCCCCGAGACATGAAGAAAGTCAGTATCACATCTTATGGCAAAGTGCCTACCAAGCGGGGGAAAAGGTTAGTCTCACGGCTTTGGCAATATGGCCAGTCTTGGTTTGCGTCGGCGAAGATGCGCTGGTTGGAGCAGCCCTGGCAGTGACAACGGCCGTCTGAAGTCAGATGAACATGGTCAGTAACAAACGTAGCTACGAATAAAGTTTAAAGTAAGTTGACGTACGGTCTTCGCAGTATTTGGATAGACCACACTGTTTGGGGTTTGTGCACATCTTCTCGCCAGTACGTGACCGGCAGGCGTCTTGGAGACGACGTTAGACGGGGTTCTTCATCAAAGTGTGGAGATTAAACCTACGATCTTTGCAGAAGATAGAAAGGATGCGCCTGGATTTGGCGGGTGCCTCGCATTTCAAGACCTTGTGGACGCAGCCGGAGTAGACGCAATGAGGCCGGGGCGGCGAAGGGGCGGGCTGTTTGGCACGGCAGCTGAAGAACATGATGATTTACTGAGTTGCGACTGTGTAATTGTAACGAGAGTTGAGTGGAGGGCTGTAGATTAGGTTCAATCTCTTCTTGAGAAGCTTGCTGGTCTTCCAGAGCGGGTTGGCAAGATGATGGACGTCTTGTGTGGACCTTTTGATGACTTGATATACGAAGGTTTAGACAGAGGATGAGAGAGATGAACGCCAGGCTGCCATCATTACCTTCGAATGGACCGCTAACTGCTGAACACTTGGGGCAAATAGCTTTTTGCATACAACTTGATTCATCCCAAATGGAGATGAGGGCTACTGCCATGGTACAGGTCTAGATAGTCTCCCAGACGACGATGGCTCATGTGAAACTAAGCACAAGGCATCACTTCTCAAAGTCCAGGGGCCCATCTGCCAGGGGAGACCGACGAAAGTGAAAGCATCGAGCTGCAATGAGATAGATGTATCAGCCACTCTCTAAAATATTGAAAGAGATTGAGATGTTTCTCTTCAGTGTGTGTTTGTGAGATATCTGAATAGTTTTCGAGATGACCTTGAACGCTTAGCGGATGTGTCTCAAGACCGAGACCGCTTGGCTGAAAAGCTTTCAGTGACCGTTTGTCAACATGCCCCGTTCAAAGAGCGCGATATGATACTTCAGACTTGAAATATCCTCATGGCTCAGCGAAGAAGGACTGTTCGCGGACAAGGAAATGATTGTGGTGTACCTAGGCGCCTCATGCAAGCAGCCGGGCCAGAGGTCATGGGAGTCGCCATTGGAGGGTTGCTTAGGCCCATAGTGGAACTCATTGACCTGATGTCGCTCAAACAACTTAGATAATGAAGTCAAGCCATCGGTTGCTGATGGTCTCATGAGTCTCATGAACCACTCAATGGTTGATGAGCTTCAGTTGAACCTGTGGTGAGAGCGAAGGTGGCGGCTTCCAAAATCAGGGAAAGGGCGTTTGCCCCACCAGCCACGCTTCTGCAGGTCCATTCCGGTATGTATCTCCCGCTATACCCAATAAAGCTAGATTGCTCCAGCCACCTCGACCTAAAGCGCGTTAAGGTGCACCTTGACGGCCCCTGCATTGCAACGTGCCCCTCGTTCCCACCAGCCACATCATCGCGAAATCAAGTTTCCCATCCTGGCTGACTGGCGGCAGGGACGGAGATTTGTTGCCATCGCCAACCATTTGCCGCTCGCCGGCTTCCCTCGTCATCAGGGTTTCCCGGGGACCTGCCAGGCTGGAAAGACTCACTGCCACCACCAGCGTCATTCTTTATTTCTTGTTCCTGCCTGCCATTATTACATGTACATACCGCTTACACATCTCTCCGGCGCATGCGAGACAGCTTCAGGTCCTCCTGCAACCACTACCAAAACACCGCATTTACAACGTCTTTGATCGCGAACAATGCACTCGAACCGGCTTTGACGACTCAAACGGCACCACGCAAAAATCACTGCGGCATTGAAAAATTTCGCGACAAGCACTTGCTCTCACAATGACCGACGAGGAACAAGGCATCCAGCGCCCAGCGCAAACATACCAGACACCCGACTGGGAGACTCCTACGGCCAACAAGCGTCGCTCTTTCTTCGATCGCTTCGCTCCTGCGACGACTGGTCAACAGCACGATGATCGCACGCATACTACCCCCGCGGCAACGAACGAGGGCGGATTCGCAAAAGAGGATACTCAACGCTCAGATGATCACGCCCATCTGACCGCTCCTGCCACCGGCGCCGCGGCCGCTGCAGGCGCAACGGCAGCACACAAGGCCTATCCCTCCCTAGCGGCCCGCTTCGATTCTCTGCTACCGCCGCAAAAGACCTACTTTGGCCTGTCACGAAAGCGATTCCTTCTCTTCGTCGTACTGCCGCTCGCAGTCCTTCTCCTGCTCATCCTACCTCTGGCCCTCGGCCTCGGTCTCTCCAAGCGCGGCGGAGGAAAGCAAGATCTGCCCCTTCCGAACAATCAAGATGTTCACACCGGTGATCTCACATACTACGCTCCCGGGCTGGGCGCATGTGGAAAGACGAGCAGCGATAGCGACATGATTGTTTCGGTTTCGCACTACTTGTGGGACGACGTGCAGAGCGGCGGCAATCCGAACAATAACCCACTATGCGGCAAGAAGATACGGGTCCGGCGCGACGGCGAGGGTTCGGTGGATGTCACCGTTGTGGACCGATGCACTGGATGCGCGCCGACCGATCTCGATTTGAGTCCCGCGGTGTTCGACAAATTGGCCAATAAGGACGAGGGCAGAGTTACGGGCACATGGAGCTGGTTGGACTGAGCAACCCCTAGGCGGACGGTTGACCCACGAGCTGGATGGGAGTACTGCATAGGGAACATCCCGCCGACCGGGAACTTGACGAGACATGCGAATAGTACGACTACGAGCCGAAGACGGAAAGATGTTGCGCGGTGTTTGGAATTGCTTCGATACCCCTGTTATTTTCTTATTTATGCCTGTCATAGATACCATTGCCAATGAGGCACGCGAATACCAATACTTCTCACAAGCGTCATGATTTCCTGGCACGGCGCAACGAATCGGCGGACATCCCTCCGTCCATTGATATCCAACTGCGACGCTCGGAAACTGCACAACGATCTGGACCATGGTATGTCATCGCGAATCATGAGTATCACTGAGCACAGATGCTCGGCCATAATGAGTGCCGGCCCTGCTAAAATGTCGATATCTACAGTGTAACGCCGTCAAAACAATCCCAGGGTATCCCCAAACGATTAACCCAACACAAGACGCCGGTAAGCCAGTCCGAACCTATACCCCATCCCCCTAAGGAACCACTTATCGTGAGTTTATACTTACTCGACTCGTCTTGCCCTGACTCCTGTCTCGCTCGTCCCAGGCAAGCAGGCTCTGCCCGACGGTAGAGCCCGTCGCCCCTGACCTAAAGCGACTTCGACGTTTATACTCCCAGTCAAGCAGCCCATGGTCGACGTCCAACGGCGATAGTTGTGGTGCAGGACTTGATCCCATGCTGCTCTCCCCGTCCCCTACACTATACTCCGCGACTATCGACACTCTCTTTCCACTCTTCTCCTCCCCAAGCGCCGAACTCTCGGCGTCGTACTCTTCAGTCTCCAGAATGTGCCGCCTGCTCGCGGTCGATCTCAACACGCGCGCCGGCTTCTGCAGCTCGAGGTCGCTGGCACTGAGCCAGGTCCCAAACTCCTCAAAGGTATGTCTCCTCGAGTTCGGCACCCCCGCAGGCGCGGGCCCCCGATGTGTGCTGTGGACGGTGACGCCCGACGACAGGTTCGCGTCCTGCTTCGTCCGGTGCCCCGTTGCCTGATTAGACGGCGTCGGAAGCACGCCCGCCGTCTTGAGGTTCCGCAGCCAGGGGAACCACTCCCTCAGCAGAGGCCACAAGAGCGGTAGGTTCGATACGTAGACGGCGACACTGGCCTCGCGGATGTACCACAACATGTATGTAGGGCTGTACGGGTCGGCGAGGTTGTATACCTTTGTCAACAGTGCCGCGACGATGACACAGATACCGAGGCTGAAGACGAATAGGAGAACAAGCTTTTGCTTCCAGGGCACTTTCATACGGAAGACGAGCGGGAGGGGGATCATCAGCATCAGCGTGTCGGAGGAGATGTTGAACCAGCCCTGTAGGATGGCGTAGTTCTCGTACGTCGTGCACTGCGGGTCGGGGGGCGGCATGGCCCAGTAGCCGCTGAAGGGACGGCAGGCGGAGAACATTGTGATTTGTGTTGCTGTCCAGCCGATGGCGACGTACATTGCCAGCCAGCGGACCAGGCGCTGCGCGGCGAGGTTGAGGGTAAGGCGGGTGTAGAGGATCAGCACGCAGGCCTTGAGGACGTAGATGAGGTTCAGCATGGCCTGCTCCGAGACGAGGACGATCTTTGAGTCGTGGATGCGGTCTTCGATCTCGGCTTCGGTGAAGGTGCCTTCTAATTCGGGGGGATAGAGATTCGAGCCGCCGCCGTCGGTGATGATGTTGAGGAGAGCTACAAGGACGGTGAAGAGGATCTGGCACGAGATCGCTGTCAGCGTTCCGTGGTTGTTGCCATTGATAATCATCTGCTTTTAAAACATACCGCGGCCAGAATCTGGAGATAGTCATCCGCTTCATAGTTGGAGACGCCTCCTAACCTCTTTGCTCTTCCATACCTACCACAGGGTGATGTTAGCCTGAGTCCTTTCCGATTATTGAGAGGGACCTATTGAACGAACATTCTGAGAAAGATGAAGACCATCCCTATTGAGTAGTGTATCCAACTCTGACGCTCGAGGCTGGCGCCGAAGCTGTCGCTGCCGTTGACCATCGCGATGTTTGACTGCCTTGCAGCCTTCGATTGTTGCCCTGGCAGGCTTCGCCACAGGAGAGATTGTTTTGCACCGACGATCCCTCGGTAAAAATTGTTTGGCGATGCTCCTTCAATGTCTATGGCATTGTCCTCCACAATATTTTCGATGCCGTAAAAGTGAATCAGAAAGTTGTCATGCCAAGAATATGGATGGTGGCGAAAAGATGGATATACTTCACAACGGGAAGGGTGATATGGATAATGGGATATGCCACAACGATATGGGCTTCCCAACGACTCTTCAGTTCTAGACAAAGTCCGACAGGACACCGTGACGCGGACATTGAAGGTATTCCAGCGCCCGCCCGCTCGAGACTGGCTCCAAGTGGCTTCAACAAAGCCGATGGGCTGATATCTGACAGTTCGAGGGCTACAATGGCGCGGTTTGAGAATTGACAAGCCCCCCCGCGTGGCTGGCCTTTCGAGAAATAAGCAGGGCCGGACAATTCCATTCACTCGACTTTGAAGAGCGAAGTTGTCGCGAGCACTCGAGAGCTAGACTCTAGTCTAAGTTCCCTGGCGCCCCCAGGCCGATTGGGTTCGCCGACTCGGAGGGGGCTTGCTGATGCTGGTGCTGGTGCTGGTGCCGGTGCTTGTAAAGTTTTGGCAGAAATGACGATAAAGAGCGCACGATATACGAAGCCATTGCCCAGCCGCATCTAGCTTGGAGAGGGTGGACGCAGTGGTGGCGTGAGGATCGCCGGATGCGGCCATGTTCGCGTAGATGACAGGTTCCTCGCCAATCAGGAGGGAAAGACAGGCACGGCGGGCTTAACAAGCGTGAACCATTTTTGGTTTTCATCCTGTAGACTAGATAAAGCTGGCTTCCAAGTTACGCTAATTGGACTAGTCTTTCTTGCTACTACAGCTTGACGAGCGAGTGATTGCCCTCTTCTTTGTGGTGAACTCGAGGGGAGCGTCCTCCCCGATGGAATGGGCGATCTGGACTTGGAGGCGCGATGTGGTCCGCATCGGAGGTCACGCCGGCCGCCGCGTACACTGGCATGACTGGAACGAGTCACTGAGTGGTATCGTTGAGGGAGGAATTCTGTAATCAGTAATCATCAACTGTCGAGAAACCCAGATTGTGGTTACCCCCTGTCCGCCTCCAGACCTTTGGAACGCAGGCCTGATTGTCAAACCGGCACTCTACTGCGCTAACGGCACCCAAAGGGTCAAGAATCGATCCAGATGTTGGGGTAGCACAGAGACTAGTTCGGTTCACTGCCGGCGAAGTATTCGCCCTCCCTTGGAATTATTCTCATGTAGGTCGTCGCTCGCTGCAGTCGACGCCGAGCCGGTGGGATTGACGATGGAATCTGATAAAACAATGGAATTGACGACTTCAATCGTTAGAGATGCCCGAGTTACCTCAAATGGTATATCTTGCTTGACTAGAGGATCTGATAGCAACGAATTGTGTCTAGTGCTGTGGCACTGGGACGAACGTCTCTTGGGGCCATCATGAACACAAATTATCATGTTTCTTTGGACGACGATACCATGACTACCGGTTCCTAATTAGCCCCCGAGACAGCGAATCCGTCCACCATGGGACGTACGGCGCGGAGTCGAGTCGCTTTTTTGGTTACTGCGACTATGACTTACTCCGGTGCCCTCCTCTCGGATCTCGGCCCAGGGACATGGTCCGATTTGCAGTCCGTCGATGGAGAGGTGGGCAAATGTAAGCACTCTGGTTTTTACGTTTGACGCCTCAGATATCTAGACAATGGGACCCCACCTCTTGAGACCTTTACGTCTTGGTCCGATATGTCGTCGGTGAAGAGCCCGACTCCCCGTGTCACCTCAGTCGGCCGCCGGCTATCTTCTCGATCGGCCCATTCCAGCCAATCACGTCTACACGGAAGATTCTAGAACCCGTTCATCTTTCGATGATCCTTTCCCATCCAGTTGAAAAGAATCAAAGTTCCTGTACACAGGTGAAGGTTCAGTTCGTTATCGCAACGAAGAGCTCGCAATCGTGAAAGAGGAAAGGGCACGAGCTTAAGTTATACCGCCAAGCAACGTCTGATATTATGTCGTATACCTGCCAGACGTGGACGGATGGCATCGAGTTCTTCTAATGCTTCTCCGACCCGAATGGTTTGGACCGACGCCGGATACTAGGTGCTGCCGTATCAGCAACGGCATTGGAGTTGATCCCGTGGGCATTTTGATGCCAAGGCATTCAGGTGCTGTTGCACCATGGAGATTTATTCACCTCACTTGAGTTTGCTGTTCTGGGTGTTTTATCAACTTCGGGCCTTTGGTTTGACATCTTCCAGATGTCTAAACATATTGGTCCACTGAACAGACTTGGCTAGTTTGATACATAATTTTGCCGCCAGCTCGTAATGAACCTATTCTCACGGCACGTTGATTCAGTTATACATACCATAGTAACGGTCTTCGCGGTTGAATCTTGACCCGCTTCCCCAACAAGTTGATACGGGGTTCGGGCGCTCTCACGGAATATGATGATGATGATGATGATGTATTTAACGTCTGGTAACAAAAGGACGTGCCGGGCGCTATGCCAAAATGGTCTATACTAATCTAAACTATATTACAGGCTACCGTCTTCACCTAACGTTCCTGTTCAATGACTCGGGCAAATTTCGGAAAAGAAATTGGTCTCTATCCATTCGCATAGAAGAGAGGCTCCCTTAGCAGAACCTAACAAGAAATCAATACTTGCTTTGGCCATACGTTGGCGGAGGTAGCGCGGTGTAGCCTTGCGTCCACGCTTGCAGAAGTAGAAATGGACTGGTGTCTTGGGTTTCCCACAGCTGCAGTTGAGCAACGCATCTTGATGAGCGAATCTCTCGTGGTATGCTGCAAAGTCTCCATGATGGGATCTTGCTGCGTATAGCCTTCCTAGTAAGTGCCGAGGGAGGCGGAGTTCGGGCGGCTTGGGGTGAAGAATTATCTCGAGGTCGGCATATTGCCGAGGGCATTGGGACAGCCATTTTCTGGCAAACTCTCACGGAATATGTGTCACGAAATAGGAATAGCATCAGCACTCTGTAATCAGCCCATCACGTGCGTTATCACGTGATTTTCTTATTTATTCCTATATAGTACCTTTTCTTACTCGATCTTATTTAGGTTAATATAAGCTAACGTACTTGCATAGCGATGTTATGGCCAGCTAGTCGTAGTGAGGTATGTTTGCAGAAGTTGAGGCTGCGGAACTGATAACAGTATTCGTAGTCAGGGATAGCTTCAAGGAAGCTATGTCTATAGGTTATAAGATAGGGGAGGCTTCGGTGATCAATCGTAGTCTTGTCAAAGAGGTTCTTAGGGAAGATAGCTAAAAGCGATCGTAAGATCTAATACGAAGTTAATTACTAAAGAAGCTATAGGAAGTCTATCTTAGAGCCCGGCTCGAGTTTATCCTATATATAAGTCCTAATTCTAAATATATTCTTTATAACTTACTTGATAGTATCTTTATTTAGATATATTACATTGCTTATATCCTAGTTATCTAAGGATCGCTTAGATAGCTTATTGTTACGCCCGCCGCAACTTGTCACTGTGGGCGCGTAGCTATATAATGCAGAACAAGGGAAAATGATGCGGAGTCATCATTATCGAAGCTTTTGCTTTGTGCCACAGTTGTGTTACGGCCAGCTAGTCGTAGGGGTAGTTTGCAGAAGTTGAGGCTGCGGAACTGGTAACAGTAATCGTAGTCGGGGATAGCTTCAGGGAAGCTATGTCTGTCAATCGTAAGGGTAGGTAAGGCTTCGGTGATCAATCGTAGTCTTGTCAAGGTAGTAGCTGAAAGCGGATGTTAATCCTGATACGAAGTTAATTGCTGAAGAGCTATGGAAAGTCTGTCCTAGAGCCCAGCTCGAGTCCATCCTTATATACAAGTCCGATCCTAACTGAACAGTGCTGTACAGTCCACTTTGTCTGGATATGTTGGATATGCCGAATATCCAACATATCCTTGACTCGGTTGGATATGTCGCATATCCAACATATCCTTATCCCTTATCATATCTCTTATCATCACGTGACTTGTACCATAGTTCTTCCGTTCCTGGGGTTTCCCCAATGTTCCGTCCCGTCCTGCATATATGATGCGCCGTAGCCGCTAGGCGTCAGCGGGGCACGCCCTGGTCTTCATGTTGGGTCGTAACAAGTTGGTTGCCTTGTCCAGCTCGTAACACTTATACCTAATATATTCTTATCTCTTATTATTACGTTGATTTATACTATAGTTCTTCCGTTCCTAGAGTTTCTCTAATGTTCCGTTCTAGCCTGTATATATG